TTATTATATACAATGATTCCAGTCTTGTATTATCTTTGATATATTTTTTGGACAAACCCTTTGCCAGTAATGTTAAGCAATAATATTTAGAAGTAATTGACTCGAGATATTTGGACAAAAAATTACACGGAATTCGAGGCTCAATTGATAACTGGGCAAAACAGAAAAACCGTCGCTTTACAGACCTTATTATCTTAAGTTGTCTGTCAATTGACATGTTATTGATATCAGTTTGGCTCAAATTGAGACCAAACGAGTGCTGAATTATAGCAAATTTATTCATACATAGAGTAAACGCCGGATAATACTCGCCCGACATCTCATACCTGACATTAGTTGTGGTTTTGTACGAAAAATATAGTGAACTTATTTGATATGATTGATAAATGCATCCAATTATACACAAAAGTCGTGAAATTATTTTAAACATATTTTTAAACATTTTTCCCATCATTTTTACCCTCAACACTTGCTCTTCAATTGTGTACAAAGTATATGAAAGTAATACAAGTTATTTTACATTAATCATATGAGTCCTATAAATAATTCAAAATTAATTGTCCTTTATTCTTATGTTAATTTATATATTAAGATAACAAAATACGTCATATGTCCTTTTTTAGACCATGTTAATTTTCTACATATAGTATAAATGTACTGTATTCATGATAATATATTCTATTAACATTAGAAATATTTTCCATATTTACAAACTTAATTATAATAAATTATTTTTTATATTTATATCTATTATGAAATAACTATCGATTAAATGTAATAATAAAATAGCATTAATTGAGAAATAGCTATTTATTATAATTATTAAATGCACATGAACAATTATTTTAATAAATCAAGGGGCAATGAACAAAATTTGGACTATTATTGTTACCTTCAATGACCGATATCAAACATGTAACATATAATTAGAAATACGTTTATAAATTAATTATAATATTATTCAATATAATGGAATATAGTTACGCAACAAATTAAATATTCAATACTTTACTAATGCCGTACATTATGTCAGTTTTTAACGTCCAAAGGGGTTTAAGTTTAATATTATGTTCAATCATTATCATAGCATTGACCATTGAATTAAACATGATAAAAATTGTGATGTACATATATTTTAATGGTAATGATTGAACCGAATGTTCAAGATTTAAAAATTTTTAGTTGTAATCATTACGTGAAGGAAAAATTTAAAATCAAAGTTAATAGTAAAATGTTATATCGAAATACTTTACATATTACTTCAGTTAGTACTTTAATGATCAATTCAGTTAATTCTAATAATGTTGGGAATATATGTGTTACTTTTTACAATATTGTGTTTAGGAATAGTGTTAACAAACAGTTTAATATTATTATTATTGTAATGTTTGAGATTAGTTGTATTCTTTTGTTTTAGGCATTTATTATATATTTTAACTTTTAGAAGCATTTGTTCGCAAAGTTGAGTGAATACTAGAAAAGTGAATCCAAAATAAAGACTTAATAAACTTCCCATTAAAGTAAAGTACTCTTCAAAAGACATTTTGAGAGATATCTCGTATACAGTCGTCGGTTCGGTCGGAAACTTAACGTTGATATTCAAGGAATCACTTAAAAATTTCATGCTTTCCATGCGATCATCAATAGTATAATAATGTTGACTACACTCTACTCTATGACTGCATTTCAATTTACAAACATTTTTCATAAGTGTCTCATTCCTTGTCTCCGAAAAGCGATTATTCGTATAGTTATAGTTATATTGTTTAGTGGTGTTATCATGATCACTATAGACTATATAATTTCTCTGTACTTGGTTGTTTTGCAGTAAATAAGTTTCAAAAAAACATTGATATTCGCATTCATGTCTTGTCTGTCTTTTAACGCATTCGTTTGAGTAGTGGTTTACTTTGTATATCAATAATGTTTTCCTATATCTTATGTTATAAGCCGTGGTATTTCTGTGCAACAGAATTGTATAACCCTTTCTGTTGGCGACGAGAATACGTTCAAATCGCGAGTGAATGTGAAAATAAACAAACTTTCTTTGTGACCACTTATCCATTGGTATTCTTATAGCCAACGATTCCAATCTTATGTGATCTTTGATATATTTTTTGGACAAACCCTTTGCCAGTAATGTTAAGCAATAATATCTACAAGTAATGGATTCCAGATATTTGGACAAATAATTGCACGGAATCCGGGGATCATTTGATGATTTGGCGGAACAGGAAAACCATCGCCTTATAGATGCTATTATTTTAAGTTGTTTGTTAATTGACATGTTATTGATATCAGTTTGGCTCAAATTGAGACCAATTGAGTGCTGAATTATAGCAAATTTATTCATACATAGAGTGAACGCCGGGTAATACTCGCCCGACATCTCATACCTGACATTAGTTGTTGTTTTGTATGAAAAATATAGTGAACTTATTTGATATGATTGATAAACGCATCCAATTATACACAAAAGTCGTGAAATTATTTTAAACACATTTTTGACAAATTTTTCCATCATTTTTACTCTCATTTATTCTGACACTACTTTGTCCTTAAATTGTGAATAAAGTAAAAGAAGTTATTTAAATATTGATCATAACTTATGATTCATAAGAGTTGCATAAATAATGCAAACTTAATTGCCCTATATTCTTATGCAAATTTACATATAATGCAATAATAATACAACATATCAATGTAATTTTATGTTATATTACATATAATAATATGTTATTTCCCTTTTCCATCATGCTAATTTTCTACATAAGTTTATAACATGTTTGTTACTGCATTTATAATGACATATCCAATTAACATGTGAAATATTGGCAATATTCCTAATAAATTATTTAGTTTTTTTACTTATAGTTATTATGAAATAATTATTGATTAAATGAAATAATAAAACGGTTTGTATTCAATACTTGAATTGATAAATTAATCAAATGACCATAATACCATAATACCCTGGGCAAAATTGCAAATACAGTACAAGTTGTGCATATAAAACACACCTACACTTCATACTACTGTACGCTAACATCCAATCGTATGAATGAATGCGTAAAACACGTGACTTTGTTGTGAAAAGTTGTGAATGAAATGAAAAGTTTGTTTTGGTTTTGAGTTCAATAAATATGATGTGATGTTTGAGTGACAATGAGCTGACCATTGATGACAAGCAGTGATAATGAGTGATAACATGCATACCATCGATGACTACAGGCGTCTGTACGACAAGTCCATCACAAATAAGACCGACTTTTGGCGGCGAATGGCCGACACATTTGATTGGCACACAATCGCTGGCCATTCGCCCCGTTTTGGCCACAATTTTGACACTTCTTCGGCACCCATTGACGTCCATTTCATGAGCGGTTCCCAAACCAATGTCTGCCATAATCTCATCGATAGGAACATCGCCTTAGGCTTCGGCTCACGAATCGCTTACCACTGGTTTGTGTCCACCAATTGATCCGCTCTTATAATTGTTGTGGCATTTGATTGAAGGGTTGGCCACGAGTTTGAGCTGAATATGTCATTGACTTATAGCCAACTTCGGGATCAGGTCTGCAGATTTGCTAACGTCTTGAAAGGGTTGGGCCTTAAAAAGGGCGACACTATAATCAACTATACGCCAGATTTGATCCAAACGGTGATCTCGATGTTGGCCGCCATAAGGCTGGGAGTGGTTTACGCTAACACTGTATTTATGACACCATTTTTGGCCACAAATTGTCTCATTTTAAAACATGTTATTTCTTTGCGTAACCAACAGTTCCCGGGATATTCTGCCCAATGTTTGGCTCAACGTATGCTTGACTTGAAGTGTAAAGTTTTAACCACTTCTGATGTCTATTACAGTTATAAACGGTTTAATGATTTGAAACAACACTCAGACCAAGCGATTAGGATTTGTCGCCAAAAGTATAACCCTTTCAACAGTTTTATAGCTGTTTGTCTTAAGTTGTCTTTCATTTCAATAGTAATCACGAAATCAAAGCCAGAATTTTTATCAAGTATTTATCGGATGGAAACTATGGCCCGAATATTAGTGATTATAATAGCGATTTGGACCCAAGACTTGATCACTGGTGGCACGACTTGATTGAAAATGCAGACACAGAGTGTCCACCCGTTTGGGTCGACTCCGAAGATCCACTTTTGTCATATTTTCAAGGTTTTGGTCTAAAATAAAATTAATAATTTACTTTTAATTAATCCATATTTGTATTAATTCAGTGGAAGTACTGGCAAACAGAAGGCTATCGTTCATTCCAGCGGTGGTTTTATGGTAATGAGTGCTCTGGTATTCAAACACGCCTTCAATTACGCGGACGGAGATGTGGTCTACTGTTCGGGTTGTTTGGGTTGGATTACCGGCCAATTCAGTCATGTGTTCGGATCGCTGGCCAACGCGGCCACAGTTGTGCTGTCGGAGGGCTCGCAGACGTACCCAACCCCTGGCCGCTGGTGGAGAATCATCGATGAATACAAAGTGAATATATTTTACGTCAATCCGACGGATATCAGAAATTTGAGATCATTTGGCGATCAATACCCCAATGACTACCCAATGGCTGACTTGAAAGTGATTGGAGTCGTCGGTGAGACCATCGATGGCGAGACGTGGAAGTGGTTGTACGAAGTGGTCGGACGTCAACGATGTCCTATCGTTAACACGTATTTCCAGAGCGAAACGGTTTGTAAATAACCATTTATTTAATAATAATAATAATTTCATTTATGTATTTGAAGGGCTGTCCGATTATATTCCCGATTCCGGGTGTTATTCCCATTAAAGTGGGATCTGTTTCGCTGCCATTCTTTGGCGTCCAACTCGTCATTATTGATGAAAATGGACACGAGTTAGAGGGAGAGGGAAACGGAACTCTTTTGATTAAAGTAAATAAATTGAATGCATTATTGGGTTAATGTAATGAAACAACTATTTATTATAGACTGCCTTTCCATCGATCGCCAGAACTCTTTACGGCGATTATAATCTCTACGAAAAGACATCTTTCCACAAATATCCTAATTATTACTTCACTGGCGATGGTATGTATTAACACGAAAATTAATCGCAGATTTAGCCCAATGTTTACTCAGTGACTGATTGACAAACATTGAACTCCAGGCGCCTATCGAGACAAAGACGGCTATATTTCCATCACCGGTCGAGTCGATGATATGATAAATAAATATTCATTGCTTATATCTCCGTCTGAAGTGGAGTCGGCTGTTATGGCTTGCGATGAAGTGTCTGAAGTGGCAGCGGTTCCCACACCCGATCCAATCACTGGCAGTCATATCTGTTGTTTTATTACTTTGAAACCCAATGTTATCTGCGATCGAATCGTGGATATTGTCAAACAGAAAGGTATTGTTTTCAATGAGTTTTGCCAATATATTTATTTATATTAATTACTTAATTAATGTATTTTGACAGTTAATGAGAGGATAGGCGTCGTTGCGATTCCTCAATATGTGTATTGTGTCAGAGCTTTACCTAAGAATAAATCTGGAAAAATAATGCGAAAACTATTGACTAAAATGGCTATAAATGACAATAATTTGGGCGATTTGTCAACTCTTATTGATCCGTCAATTATTGATGAGATTAAAGCCATTTGTGTTCAATAATTTCATTAATACAGTAGAATTTTTTATTAATTCATATAAAGGTTGTTTATATTTTAAACAAATAATTTAAATATACTATTTTTAAAGTAATAATTACAATACATTAACTTTAGATTTGTTTGTTTGTAATGTTTTAAACATTAAATGAAATGTAATAATAAATGGCATAAAATTACTAATTCATTCATTATTTATAGTCAATTGATTGCATTTAATCTCAGTTTCAATTGAATTACACTTTTATGCCAACAATTATTACATAACTATCAAAATTTTAACAATGGTTTCGAAAATTTTGAAATTTATTTNATTTTAACAATGGTTTCGAAAATTTTGAAATTTATTTTTAAGGTTTATATGTTTTTCCAGGACTTTTATCCAAAAAAACAATTTCAGCTGTCTTTCCAAGACTTCTTCACCACAACTATCACTCAACACATCCACTCAACCAAATCACTCACCCATACATTCGTTATGCCAATACTGATCAGCGGATCGACTGTCAGCTCGAGGAGCCGTAAAATACACGTCTTGGACCCCAATAGCAACACCCGATTGGTGTCCGCATCGGAGGGCGATTCGATGATAATGCACTGCTACCCAACCCCTGCCCCCAACCCCACCACTCTTCAGATCCCTAACCCTAAGAAACGTAAGTATTGTTTGTATCGCTTTCTAATAGCAGTTAACACTAAACCAAAGCCAAGACCAGAGAAAACGACTGCCATTCGTCCGGACAGAGCCATACGGACTGCAAGGAGACGACTTGCGCTCAACACACACTCCGGTGGCTCTGAAGGCAAGACTCTGTGGAAGAGGTGCCGTAAGTTCGGTGCGAAAGCCAAACGAGTTGTCAGATCATTGCGAACGCGATTCGGGACCGAAAGAGCCGATTATAAGCCACCGCTGAGGAGAGTCGGAGTGAAGAGACGTCTCGACCACCACTTCGACGATCAGATCTCAATCTCGGAGTCTAAGAGATCTAAAGCCGAGTACTGTCCACCGATTGTTCAGTGTTTGTCCGTCGCGTTGTCTGCCGGCAAACGGATCCACGAATTGGTTGACGACTCTCGAGAGTTGAGAGTCGAGAACCCAAGAACTCTCGCTTTTCTATATCTCAACGCTATTCCGGCCCAACACTGGTGTCCACTGGAATTGGAGTCCATTTTCACGAATAGTGTCCATCTGTTGGCGATTATAAACTCATTCAGACCTGAAGTGAATCAACACTTTAGGAGGAAATCGCGACAAATGTGGCGAAAACCCGCCGCAGGAGTCGATCCGATCGACCACTTGTGGACTAACGTCGAGACAGCCATCAAAGACTGGAGGGTCGACCACATCGACGACCTGTTAGTCCGACTCAAGACTACTCGTGGCTATAAGAGTGAATACAACTCAATCATCAAACACTCGTCGCCTCTACTCTTTGCGAATGGCCTCCACTTGAGCTCACATTTAGGAACCGGTAGTAACGGACTGGTAGTGAGTGCTCTACACAATGGCAAACCAGTGGCCGTCAAGTTTTGCCGCAATTTACTTCAATCCATCGACAAAGAGCTGAAGTCATTGATGGCGTGGAATCACTCGAACGTATTGTCGGCGCATCCAATCATATACCCCGAGAGCGGAGCCAATCGCGTGATAGTGATGTCTGCGGCCGAGTCTAGTCTTCAGCCCTACACCACGGAATCGGTGGTCCGACGACTCGACGCCCAATGGGTTCTCACAGTGTTTCAAGACATAGTCCGTGGCGTCCAATACATACACAGCAAAGGGTTCGCTCACTTGGATCTGAAGCCCGAAAACGTATTGCTCTTGAGATGTGAGACAAGCGGAGGATTAGTGGCAAAAATAGCTGATTTCGGGGCCATTAAGACAGCGGTTGACGACCAGACGGGACAACCCATGCCTATGACCGCCGAATACGGGAACGAATGGTACGAATCACCCGAAGCCACGAATCAAGTGTTCGTTTACGACATCCGATGCTGTGATGTGTTTGCCATCGGTTTGATTGGCCGACAACTGTTGCGTCCGATACCGGGTGTCGACGCCAGCGATCGCACGCGAGTATTGGATCAACTGCTGAACCTTGACTTCTATTTGCGCCCCTCTTTGGACGCTATACTCGACGACCCGTTACTGAAAGCCTCGTATCGACGACCCAAACATCTCGACGACTATCAGACCCCGACATCTGTGGTCGAGATCCAGGAATCAGTGATATCTCCGTCGCTATACTATTCGTGTCCAACACTTGAGTATCTGTCGTGTGAATCGGCGCCGGAGGACAACCGTCTGATCGGTTCTTATTGTGAATCTCAAGCAATGGTTTCACTGATTGGAGACCAGCCCTCACTTGTTGAGCGATCGCCGCCTCCGAAGGGCTACCATCTGTTTGGACCTCAATTCTCAACTTCTGAATAGGCGGCGCCACCTGTCTATCACTTGATTGATGGACAACTTTGACCTCATTGTACGAACGCAGCCGACGGAGAACCGTCTGATCGGTTCCCAAGTGTCTCAACACAACTGTCAATCGGCGCCAATGGTCTGACATCTGATTGGAGACCAACTGACTTATCGTGCGATCGGTGGCCAACTGTTTCTCAGCGCCGATTGGGAACCGTCTGTTGCGGTCCAAAAACTGTCATCAGTTGAGTGAGACTTTGGTCTAACCATCTGTTTGGTGGCCAACAATGACGAGTCAACCGTCTGTTCGGTGATCGCCAAAGGCTTGTCGTCTTCGGCACCAAATCATGGGTTCGACCGTCTGTTTGGTCCTCAACTGTACCGACACTGTGATAGGCGTTGGAGTTATCCATCTGTTTGGACTCCACGTGTGAGAACTGGTGTCATGTGTTGGATGCCTTGTAACTAACCGTCCCATCGGTTCCCAACTGTTTCAACACAACTGTCAATCGGCGCCAATGGTCTGACACCTGATTGGAGACCAACTGACTTATTGTGCGATCGGTGGCCAACTATGTCTCAGCGCCGATTAGGAACCGTCTGTTGCGGTCCACAAACTGTCATCACTTGAGTGAGACTCTGGCCTACCATTGATTGTGGCCAACAATGACTTGTCGTACAACGGATGGCAGTAAAGACCTGTCGTGTCTTAACTTGTGTTGAGTGCCAACGAGTCAACCGTTTGTTCGGTGACCGCCAAAGGCCTGTCGTCTTCGGTACCAAATTATGGGTTCGACTGTTTGTTTGTTCCCCAATTGAAACGACTCTGTGATTGACTCTGTCTGTAGCCTACCGTCTGGTCGGAGGCCAACCGCCGAATGGGAACCGTTTGTATCGGTCCTCAAAATGTGACCATTTGTGTGATCGGCGTCTCGAGTCGGGAGTTAACCATCTGTTTGGACTCAATGTGTGAGAACTGGTGTCATGTGTTGGACGCCGTGTAACTAACCGTCTCATCGGTTCCCAAACTGTGACCACTCGTGCGGACAAACTTGTAATCAACTGAACGTTCAATTGGAGTGAGACGTGTGTAAGCCGTGGATTACCTCTTCTTTGTGTTCAGTTTTGATATTAAATTCAGAACTTGTGTTGAAATGAAAAATGTTTTATCACTTTATTTATGTCGAGAAATATCTTATATAAATTCATATATAGTTTAGTTAATTATTATTTGGTCTAAAGTTTGCGATGAAATACTGATCTAAATGTTTGACCAGATTTTGATTATAACTTTAATGGTGTGAATAGTGTTAGCAATTATTAACAATAATAAGGTTTTTTATTTAACATTCAATTGATTTACTATTATTTTCATTTTGTATTAAAATCATATATTTTTAACTCAATTTAAAAATATTTGTCGTTTAAAAATAATAAAATTATTGTTAAAAACAAATTAAAAGTACAAATCAAACGAATTTTAAAAAGTATGACAAAAGAGAAATGTCTTCCAAAGGATCGCAAATACCTGATCCCAGACTCAATGGCAGCCAAAGAACTGATTTTTACCGACTGTTGGATCAATTGTGACAACAATACAGTCGTTGACACTCGAGTCATACAATTGACAGACACCTGACGGGCAAAAGAACGGGAAGTTCTTCACAGCCATAGACTAATAGATCGTTGGGACGGAAATGGGCGCAGACTAGAGGCCAGGGGTGCTGGGAGTCCACTAACGAATAGTCCGACTGGCAATGGATGCAAGCGATTGGCGCCGATGGGAGGCCAGGGGTGTTGGGAGTCCTGAGACAATGCCATCACTTTAAGACCTGTGGTGTTGGGAGTCCTCCAAAGGGATAGTCCAACAGGTGTTGAAGTGATGGTAGAGTTGAGGGATAGTCCGAGTGGTCTGGGATGACGACAGCAGTGGTCACATAATACACACTATATTAGTCTTACAGTCCAACAAAATCTGGTCGAGGGATGGGCTCTGGACTCTCGACACGACGAAACATTGTGTCGACGATTGTCTTAACACAAAGAGATTCAGTAAATCAAACAATTCATTCAATTAAATTCCCATTCATTAAATCCTTTCATTAATTTTGTGTTTTTGTAATTAAATTCATGTTTCAATTCAACGCAAGAAAGATTTATTCAAAAATATTTTATTTATTTTTCTTAATCATTATTTGTATAAAACATTTGGCAAACACTTTGTATGAAATGTAGATATAATACAATATATTAGTGCATTCATTATTTATAGTCAATTGATTGCATTTAATCTTAAAATTTTTAGTTTAAAATATTACCGTATTCTTCCGTTTTGAAGCCCATGAGCTGTTATGTGAGGGGTCTCTGACTAGGGTAGACGTCGAAATAGCAAGTGTGGTACTCGGGTAGTAGCCCACCCTCTCTAAGAAAGTGACATAATAGCCCATGGGCTTAAAACCCGAAGAATACGGTATATAAATTATACAGAACTTTAATGCTCTAAAAATTAATTTTAATATCATGTGATTAATGTGAACGTTAAGTAAAATCAAACTATTTTACTTTTAATTGTAAACAATTGATGTATTGTTACAAATATTTTCTCATATCATTAGTTAAACGGTTTGTGAGCAGAAAGAAGCGAATGAAAAGTGCAAAAACCTATTGAAAGTAAGACACGATTTTATATTACAATTACTATTTTATACCAATATTTGCAATAATGAAGTGAAAAATAATCGCTCATTCATTACGATATATCATATGTAAAAAGCAATACACACTTTGAATGCGATCCTTTGGGTCACAATAAATTGATTGCCACACGAAAAGCCAATCAAATTGTTGCCATCACCTGCTCTTTCAATTAGGTTTAATAGCTGTGTATTTGAAATATATTTATAAATAATACAAATAAATACTTAATAATACAGCGAAGAAAATGCAATAATTTATTTGTTTTGAAATCAATAAAACAATAGGCATTTCGTTACTTCATTTTTCGCAACCATATTCACGCTTACCATTAATTTAGGTCTCGAGTGATCGGCCGTTGAATTCACTGTATTTGCATTGAAACCAATTATCAAATGTTTATACGATTTGCGCGCTTCTGTATTAACAGTCGATGCAATCAAATAAATCATAAATAGTGTGAATAATAGAGAAAAATTAATGACAATCGCGGCTATGATTATATGAATATCATTTATTACAAACAATTGCTGCAAAAATGCCAGATTTAAGGGAATAAACGTATAACTGAATGCAAATATGTATTTCTCCCAAAATCTGTTGTAAGCGATTATATCATTGAAAAGTTTGCGATATTCATGTGTTATATAACTAATGTAAAACTTTTTCGCAAATAATTTTGACTCGTTTTTTGACAGCGATTTGTTTAATACACGAATTCTGGTTTTCGTAAAATATGTGACAATCAAAAAGTATTGAAAGCTATAGAATATTGTGAAAAATGTGGTATCAAGGAAGAAAACAGCAAAAATGTCACTAATAATTATCATTATATTTACGGCCAATGTTTGGCTATTTGTGAGCAAAAACTTGATTCTAACCCCAAAACCCATTACAAAAAGCGAAACACAGCATAAAATGACACAAAATTTAATACCAACGCATATTTTCTTTGTTATTATCAATAATTGTTTGACTTGTTTTGAGTCTTCAATGTTTAACTCTTCAAACGATTTTAATCCATTCACGCATTCAATTATTTGAAGCCATTTATAATCGCGGCTATAGTTGAAGAGACAGGTAATACAAGTGCACACTATATTGTGTCCATAATATAGAAATATGTAGGGATACCTCCGATGATTGTCCGGATATCGTAATACAAAATAGGATTCCTTTCATTCTTGTGTCCAAAATAATGAATAATACCAATGAATATATGAATGAAATGCCAACCAATAATGAGATTACATTTGATTGTCTGAAGTAATTTTGATAAATATGTGTTGAAATAGTTGTTGATATCAATTGTGTGCAAAAGTCCATATTTATAGAGCGGTAAAGCGATATATTTTATGTAATGATTAGCTAATTCAGTCATTTTGAATATCTAAATAATTTCTAAGCATATCTACTGTATAATATTTTGCATATATCTATAACTTAATCTATACTTTACAATAACTACAATTGTTTTATCCAAACAATAGTTACTAAACAAGAATTTGAATTTAAAGGCAGAATAATTTTAATGATATTAATAATTATCATCCAATGCTTTCTATCTTTATATTTATACATTTTATACATTCAATGAAATAATATAATCAAAACACGCAAACATACTGTCTTTGTTCGCAGATATTTACTACAATATTTATAAATAAAAACTTTATTTTAAGTGTAAAGAAAAACATACACATTATGTATAAGTTATAACAATACTGTATATATGATTTACAGCGGATTTAGTAAAACAGAAATCGTTAATCATTTCTCTAAAAATAAACTTTATGTAAAAGTAAAGTGAATTTGAAAGTCAATGTTTTGTATTAATATTTAAAAATAAACAAAATTTTGATTACATAATAATAATAATGATAAACAATTTGAAAACTATTAACCAAAAAACACAACAAAGAAAATTAAGTGAAGACCCAAATGGCAATTATTATAAGGATAGGGATTATTAAGTAAAGCATTAATCATAAACTGGTCTCATATGATGTTAAAGGATATGTAATCCTCTTGTAGTCAATNGGGATTATTAAGTAAAGCATTAATCATAAACTGGTCTCATATGATGTTAAAGGATATGTAATCCTCTTGTAGTCAATGGTTGTTCTGCGGAATTAGAAAAGACAACAATTGATGACCTTTTAAGACAATAAAGGATTACTAGTTCTTTAGTATAGGAAGTAATGGACAGTAAAAGTGATGGACACACTTACCGGACAGTAGTGTTGGTGCCGTTCAGATAATTGCATTCCATTGAGTACTTCCAAGAGGTCTCGTCGGCGCCGTTCACTCCGCGTTGCGGTGATTTGAAGCGTTGGAAATTGGTTTCAGTCATTATCTCACCGGACTTCGTGTCCAACGTGTCGGTCGAGCCATCCTTTCTCACAAAAAAAACAAAACAAAATTGAGTACAAAAATACAGTAAACAAACAAATGAGACACACCTTAGAAGTTCCGTCTTCGTTGATCTCTTTGATGATAACGCCGCGACTCTGAGAGCTGGGATTGTCAAAGGCTATGCTGGACGATATGGTACATGGCGGCGGTGGCGACCGCAGGGAGGGCCGGACGTTAAGGACGAGCTTTTGCCAAAACGAAAACGCTATGAAAAACGACAGTAGGTTAAGTCTGCAGGCCTATTAAGACCACTGTTAAAGCCACCGGCGCGGCGGACTCACCACCGGCTGACCGGTGGACACGCGACCAGCGGTGGCGGCGGTGGTGTCACTCTTGGCTGGCTGTACGCGTTGAACGTGCGGTTCAACCACAGCAGCCTTGCGTGACGTGTTGTGCACCAGCCGTTTGGTGAGGTCTTCGTCTGGTCTGAAACGAGATGCGCGAACATCTGTGACCAGAGAAGGCGTCGACGACGACTCCCTCTCCACGCGAGACATCTTTGTGGACATCATTTTGGGACTTTGGTCCGGCTCTGGGCTCAGAAACTCTGGCGTATCCACGAGTGTCACCACCGGTGACGACGAGGTCCGGTGTGGCGGCGAATAAGCCCTGTGTGTCGGCTCACTCTCGATGTACGGAAAGCTGTTCTTCATTCCGGCTCTGGGCTCAGAAACTCTGGCGTATCCACGAGTGTCACCACCGGTGACGACGAGGTCCGGTGTGGCGGCGAATAAGCCCTGTGTGTCGGCTCACTCTCGATGTACGGAAAGCTGTTCTTCAGTAGACCTTTTTTGGGCGATGAGACAGAGATTGTATTGTCGTTTAGTTTTCAGTACAAACTGATTTGTAGTGTAAATCTATTGTAATAATTACATAATGGCTTCAATTACCTGCCGGTCCCGCGAATGCGGTCTCATTAGTGATGGCCTTCTCCTGGGCTTCGTTTCCGTACTGACGGGCGGTTCGCGAGCGGGTCTTAACCGACGATTCGCTGCCTTTGCTTTCGATCAGAGTTTCGGTTGACATCGATATTGATTTTGGTTTTTGAATAACTCCTACATTAGAAACAATGCAAACACTTAAATGATAATTATCTTATATTAAAGGATTAGGCGCTCAAACCGTCGTCATCTTTGAAGGCATCGGTGGTCATCTCATTACAGATGGTAGAGCTGGAGGTCTCTCTCCATTTAGACTTATCCAAAGGCATGAATAGACTGGCGGTGTGTTTGCCATTCATTGCCAACGATTTGCTATTATTGAATGAATCCGGGGGTGCGATGAGCACCATATGCATCGGGTCCTGAATGCTGACGCGTCCAACCTTTGGCACTGTTATCTCGTCGGTGCTGTCATAGCGCGGAAACGTCGGACTCGGACTCTTCAGCGACGACTTTAAACTATGCAAAGACGAGCCGTAACTCATTGTCGTCGGTATTTGGGGTGTAGTCGCCGGCGACGGCATCGAGAGGTCGTCGGCCGACGCGGGACGGGTCGACACACCGCTCACTGGCGTCACGTCGATCTCGGACTGGGCTTTCCTTATGGGCGACGACAGCGGTTTGTGAGCGCTTTGAGAGGACGGCTTATACCCGCCATCTGTGAGTCGACGCATGGTTTGCGGTGTGTTTGGCAGTGTTTGGGCGGTCGGGATGTGTTGACTTGTGGTGACGTGAGTGGTTCGCGACATTTTGCCCGACGTCTCGTCCAATTTGGTCAGTGATGTCACTTCCGATCTCTCCTTTTTGTGCGCTTTCGTCACTTCAACGGTGATCTTCGACTCAGTCTTCAGGTCCTTCGGCGCCACTTTCATCACTGGCTTCGACGGCAACTGTGGTTCAGTAGTAGTGGACGTCACTGTCAGCTCACCGTTGGTTTGGGTTTCGATCGATCGCGTGATTGGCAACGGTTTGGACGCAGGAGTAGTGATGGGCGGCGCCGGCGGTTCCGGTCCTCTATGGATGTCGTGACGAGATTCAGGTCTCTGAACACAAAAACAGAGGCAAACAATTAAATGCAAATCTCAACACAAAAACTAGATCTATAATTGATTGGCCCCCTATTAGGAGCACTCACTTTATCGGCAGTGAGTTTGTGTCTGAGCTCCGGGCGGTGCGGCTCTCGATCGTAATCCTGAAGAGAGGTTTCCAACACCTGTTGCCTATCCTTTGAGTGCTTCTTCCGGTCGTTGAAATCGAAATTGATTTTCTTCTCCTCAGATCTCATGTGATAATAGCTCTTCTGAACGGGTTTTGACGCCGACTTGTATTCCGAGTACTTTTCCCGATATATTTCTCTCACATTCTCGCAGCTATAGTCGCCCTCAGAGTTGGACGAGTCGGACGATGTGGTCGTAGGACTTGTGCCGTACTCTTCGATAATCGGTTCCGGAGTTTTGGACGGTCTATACGTGTTGTACACACTCTGGTCGGCGCGACCTCTACCTAAGCCGGTGGCAGTGGGTTTGGCAGCGTTTGGATCACTTGGTCTGTAATAGTTGGCTAATAGGCTTTGGTCGAGGAGTTGACCGGTTTTCGGGTGAAAGCCCTTCGGATAGGCGGACACAACCGCCGAGTCCTCCGATTCAGACGAAAACGACGAGAAGTTTGCCTCACAGGCGACGTCTTTGCGTGATATCCACTTCTGGTCCGTTTGAACACCTGATGATAATCGTACGGCTATTGGCTCACGAAGTGATCTCGTTCTGTGTCGATGGCCTAAACGTTACAAACATTACAATAAATGAGTTTAAATAGTTATTTATAATACATTTTAAAAACTCGTGGAAAAGTAGTTTCCGCACAGCTTTTGGTTATTGATTAAAGTCGTGAAGAAATATATTTTATTTAATATGTTTTAGATTTTATTGATTAACGTATAATGTTTTATTAGTTTATAATAATAGCGAGTGGTTTATAACATTTTTTTCTATATGGTTAAACTACTTAACAATATTTTTATAAATATTTCCACTTTTTCATCACAAAATATGCAAAGAAATGATTTTTTTATTAGCATTTATTGCACGAAGAAAACAAAATTCAATGAGATATTTGGTGTCACTCTTTCCATATATAGCCAATCATTTCGAAATCAATCAAAACTATATGTTTTTCATAATTATATGCCTTTATATCTGAACTTGAAATCTATAATACATGCGATAAACAAATATCAATTCATATTATGTTTTAGAAATAAATGACAAAATACAACACAAAACATGAATTAGTGATTGTGCTGTCAATACAATGTCAATACAGTTCTGCCTCTCAATTCAATCACTTGTATAAATGTTATACAATTCTTATACTCTGTTATTATATCTGAAAACTTAATTCACATTAATTTCATTGAGTATTCAAATTGATTTCCTGTTTTGCAAATTAAATCAAATCAAAGCTTACAATAAGATTTCACATCTATTAATGAAGGCATAAATTAATTTTCGCGAAAAATTTGTGTTTAAAATGTTTGACAAACCGGTAATCTGTGGATCAGTTGCCACCGATTCGTCTTTATATCTGAGTGACGAGACCTCTGTCTGTGCGGACATCGACCGAGTGTTGGGCAGAGGAGAGAAACGCTCCCGAAATATACGATCCGTCGAAACGGACGCATCTCTTGTCTCAATCACATCACTCTTCCAATTGGTCTGAACGGCGACCGATGTCTTCACGGTTAATAACTTGTCCAATAGTGCGCTCATTAGTCTATTATTACATTCATTAGTAAAATTTAATTTAGTTTTTAAGAATAGTTTATAACAAAAATAATGAGAAAAGGTATACAATTAATGTAAAATGCAATTCAAACCTGAAGTCAATTTCTGTATTGACGGACACATCGCTATTTGAGACCTCATTAGTTTGCGTAGACCTCGATATCAATTTGAGTGGATATTGGTGTTGAAGATCCGGGGCTTTGGTTTGGGTCTTACGACTCATTGGAAAAGCGAGTTCCTCTCTATCCCTCTCGAGTCGGTCCATGCGTTCCCTCCCGGCCTCGCTCTCCATAAGTCGTCTCCTGTAGGCTCTGGACATTTGGGACTCACTGTCGTCCGACGCCTTCTTAATGCGGAACAACTCTTCCTCCAACTTCTTCACCCTTTCCTTAGCGGACTGTGGGATGACATTCACTTCATCCAACT